GCTGTGTGTGCTGTGTGCGCTGACCAAAGAGTTGTCAGGTTTTCATGGAAGAGGATGGAATGACGAGGACTTGTGGCAGTGTTGTTGGTGTAGGAGATGCTACTGTTTTTGTAGCCAGGCTTCTGTTTTCCATGCAAAAATGGGGGGGGTTGTTCACATCTGAACACTGAACACTTCTTAGTGCTGCCCAGAGCATTAGCTGTTCCCTTTAACGTATTGCATTGGTATCAAACTGACGATTGCTATGTTTGGGGAATTGCTGTTTGCAGCAGCTTGCCAGGCGGTTCTGTTATCGTACCTAATGAGGATGTGCTGAGCCCACTTCACACTGCAGGATTCTTTCTTAAGCTGTTGTTGGATGTAAGGAGTAAGTCTAAACTGTAGTAAATCCACTATATATTATAAAACAGTAATGAAGAGGCACAGAATGCTAATCTCATGTATAAACTTTCTCTGCCAGTTCACCGTCTTTTCGTTGTTTTTTTTTTTAAAGCACAGAAAAGCTATTAGGCAAGGAGCCATATCAAGCAGCATCTGTTCTCCAGCATTTGGCATGAACCTGGAATAAGAGTACAAAGCTAGCATAAGCATGTATGGTAGAATAATAATTTGTCAGAAATGCAATCAGATTGGTGCTGCTGGGTACCCACCAGTCTGTAGATCCAGTTTTCATGATAGTGGAGCTTGACCTCTCGAGAATGAATTCTACTTGCAAGTGCCACACAAAGTATGAAAGAACATGGATGGTCCTTGAGGGCAAGAGATGCCACGCTAACTGCAGCATGCTGGTGCTTTGGAGTCACAGTTGTGTTGCAAAATACAGGCACGTTTTCACTGAGCGGAAGCTGAGATGGAGTTGGTGTGCAGGCTCTGAGATGAGAAACCTAATTTCCTTTGAAAGAATAGTTTCTGAATGACTTTGACTCCAGCCATCGATTCGCTGCTTGGTTGAGTCGGGGGAATTTGTCAAAAGCACAGGAGTGCATCTTTTGAGTTTCTTACTGACGTGTGACGCACTGAGCTTTTGCCTACATCTTGAGGCCACCGTAAGTATAGGCAGTTGGCTTTTATTTTGTGGCTGGTACGTTGTATGCCTGCTAAATTAATAATGCCCTGGGATACTTTGGTACTGTATTGATTGGAATTTAACTAGTGCTGTGCATCCTGCCAGTGCCTGTGGCCCAGTGGTTTGGGGTGCTATGGGGGAAGAGCACAGTTGTCTGCCACTGGCACACTGGCATTGCTGAGCGTGACTGGGACGCGTGTGGGTTAAAACAAAGCCTGAGCAGCGTGCTGAGGTGGATGTAGGGCCACCAGGAGCTGCCCCAGGGCTGGAGGGCATTGTGTCTGTGGCTGAGACCCCTCTGCAGGGGCTGTGGGTGAGGCCTTGCGCCTTGTTGCTGCTGTGCTTTCCCCAAAGCTGCTGTGGGAAGGCTCAGTCCTTGGGCCGTGGGGTGGAGGTCAGGCTGGCTCCCGCAGGTGCCCTGGTTGGCGCTGACTGGAAGCGTGTTGGGGGGAAAGAATGATGGAATCCCTTTGTTCTGTATTGCTGCAGCATTTTCCCTTTGGGGGTGGCAGGGAGAGTCGTTTGGTTCTGTGTTCCTTAGTCAGCTCCTCGCTTCCCTGGGGTGTGCAGTGGGTGAGCCACAGCCTGCTAGGGAGGGAGCACCACAAAAGCCTCTCAGATTGAGACAAGCACTGAAAAAACGGGTAAAGCAATATCTTGACTTTTTTTTTTTTTTTTTTTTAAAGGAAACTTTAGCAGCCTTTTCGGTTTCATGCCCTCACCAGGAAAGCTGTGTATTTATTTAACACATTTCTGCATTTTTGGAGTTGTTACCGTTGCAAAGGCAGTGCTGCACTGCCACCTGTTGGCAGCCGGGCAGGAACGTGCATTTCCAGCAGTGGCAGCGCCTGTCCTTGCCTTGCCACAGCTTGCTTAGAAACACTTTGAGCCAGCCTTGAAAAATTACACTCATTTGACTGGGGCAGGGTGAGTAGCACTTCTGACAGCCAAGCAAAACGTTAGCTTTTTTCTTTGGTTATCCAGCTGTGTAACGTGTGGCAGGTAAATGTGTGACATTTCAGCGGTTCTGCTTTCGGTGGGGAGTCTGTTCTGTATTAATAATACAGGTCTTCTCTATGTAGCAAATAGTGCTCATATCCGATCCTTGTGTTTTGATGCATCTTTTTGGATCATGCAGTGAGATGTTAAAAGTCAGTAGCAGACTCATGAAACAAACACTGCCATTTGTGTGTCTAATGTGAAAAGGCATCTTTACAAGACTTTTAAAATGGAGTTACTGCTTCTTTCTGAAGGGTATTGTACCTCTTCTGTAGAACTTTCCTGCAATGAGCAGACTTTGAAGATGATTTGCTCCAGGTTTGACCACAAATACAGCTGATTAAATCAGTGTTCGGTGCTGCGTGTGCTGTAACTGGTTGTCAGTGCATGAAATGCCTGGAAATGGTATTCATTTCACACACTTAATGAACAATCCCTCAAAGTACATTGTAATTTGTTAGGTGTACGGCGTGCATCCAGCGGCCGTGGATGGGCAGTGCAAGGATAGTGTTGATGTATCTTTGGAAGCTGAGCTGCGTTAGCAAGAGGCTGTACTGGAGTCATTATTTTTTCCTTAAATAGAGTTGAGAAGGTTTTATGTAGCTCTGCATTTTTATTTATCTTCTTAAGAAACCAAAGGCAGTTTCTTGCATTCCCCACTGTGACCCATTTAAGTGCAGGAATGCCCAAATCCTGGATTTCTGTGCCCATGGTTAGCATCATTCACAGCTCCTTGCTCCCATGCACAGCAGCCCAAACTCTCCCTCCTGGGTCCCACCAACCCCTATGCTGTCTGGATTCATCATGTAGCCCCCTGTTTCTGGCGAGTTCAGTTGAGTCTCTTCACTCTGTTCAGCTGCTAACACAATGGGTTGTGAAAGCTTTTCACACTGCCATATTTGTTTGTATTTGACTGATGAATTTCAAAAGTTAGATGGGCAGAGAGACACTATGGTTATTTTGTCCTGTCTTTTTAGGAAATCTTGCTAGGAAAAGGAAGTGCTACAAAGAATATGTGAATTTTACTACCTGGCAGTCTTGTAATGCAAATCATAATCTTGCTGCTTACTGCTGCGTTCATAGCTTTCCCACCTGGAGAGCAGTGATGAATCACCTGCCCGTGCAGCCATGTAGCTGGAAGTAGCTAACTTCTTGTTCTGAAGCACACAAGAAAACCTGCACTCTAGTCCTTCTTTGTACTGTTTTTTTTTTAATGCCAGATCCAGGTCAGACCTCATCCAATATCTATAGGATACCTTCTCTGATGAGTTCCATGAAAATCATGGTGGCATCCAGGCAAAGCACTACTAAGGTCTACTCCTACTAGGCGCTGGAGGTGGGCATCATTTCATGTTCTGGAAGCTCGTGTTCCTACTTGTTTGTGTGATGTTATGGAAAACGTCAGGACTTTCATTTTTGAACATTCAGAAGTCATGGAAATATTCTTAAAAGTGAGGCTTAGGGAAGAAGAAATACTGTAGGCTGTCTTGACTTTGTCTTAAATCCTGTTCTTGCTTTATATTCAAAATCTCTAATCCAAAATACATATATTCTGATGCATTATTTGCCTTGCTAAATGTTTATTTTTAATAAAATCCTGAGGAAAAAATGTTGTATATATACATATGTATGTATTCATATCCGTAAATATTTTTAATCACTGATGAAAGGCACACAGAACTGTTATTGACATGCTCTGTTTAAACTTCATCTCTAATTTTAAGGATTACTTTCATAGCGCATAAGTGGGGCTGAGATGTTTTCTGATTTTTGGTGGAAATAGTTGGGTTTGGGTTGAACATACACAGTGCTGTAGTCCATAATATACCTTTAACTAGAGCAGAGGTACTGAGTATTGAAGTAGATCAGAAAGTAGAAGTGAGATACAGTCTGGATGCCAAAGTCATCGTTATGCAGATGTTGAAAAAATGTATTTCGTAGCAGTAATGTTGATTAGGTGAAACTCTTGATTTTTGAATGCCTCCCCAGTCCATTTCAATTTTACATCATCTGCGAGCGTGGCCCTGCAGTATTTAATTTACTGACCTTAATGTTGCTAAGAGAGAAATGACATTTTAATGACTGTGGTGGACTTACATTATCAAAATCATTGACTGTGCTGCCAGGGAGCTACTTCATTTGTAGATATACAGCATTTGTGAAGAAATATGTTACAGTTCCTAAAAAACGTTTAATTAACCTACTTTTCTTATTTTTAGGGTTGTGTCCTTTGTTGTGACCTCATGGTTTAACGGGGAATAAAGATGAGTATAAGCAGTGATGAGGTTAACTTCCTGGTTTATAGATACTTGCAAGAGTCAGGTGAGTTTTTTCAATTATGGTTGTTTTAACAATGTTTAATTTATTTGGTTTTCATCTGCAAATGACTTCAGCAAATGCAAACTCAGTTAATTATTTTGCCAGTAGGCATGTGCTTGTGTTTCATGGTGTTTCTTCCCAACAAGAGGATGAATTCCTGCCAAGTTACCTTCTGTAACTTAATCAGATTTAGTCATTTGGAGATTTCAGATGGCAGTCAACCAAGGACTCACTTGATTACTAGAAATGCATTTTCCTGGAGATCCTTTTCAGCTACAGGATCACAGCAGTACTTTGCACTGTACTCTTTGGGGCTACTTGAATAGGAGAGGAGGGGAAGAAGGATGACATCCACAAACACAGTTATTTTCTGCTGCTCCTGTGAGCTGATGTTGCACGACCACATTCCTTGCCTGAATGTGGCTGTGGGAAAGGAAGATGTTGCTGTATTTCAGATGAAAAAATGGCTTCATCCTCCTGTGTACGGCTCAGCTGAAGTCTTCTGCTTCTCAGGAGTAACAGCTAAACACGGGTGAATATTGTCAAACACACCAAGAAACCTTTTTTTTTTGCTCTGCGTATCCAAACTGACTGCATCTGTACAATATGAGAAGGAACTCTGTAGCCATCCCTTAGCATACTTTTAAAAACTTCCAAAAGAGCAGCAGTTTGGGTTGCAGGTTGGAGTTTCTAGATGTGACCATGCGGCTGCAGGGCTTTTTGTGGTGGTTGTTGCTCTTGAAACTAGGAGCAGAAACAACATTAGCTTTTACTCACAGCTACGATATTGATTGCTTAAAGCAGTCTGCATTTGGACCACACAGATTTAGCTGGAAATCAGGGCATGCCCAGTGTATGAACCAATGATGACTGTCAGCTGGCAGGGTGGTATGTGCACATACAAGAAGTCTGCCCTTAGGCCTTATGGTGACAGTGCAGGGAATCAACATCAGTGTGTATGGTACCTTGCTGTTCCAACATTTACTGGTTATTATTTTTCATTACTGTTTGCTGATGGAAGGGCTTCAGGCTTCTTGAAAACTTGTCTCATGGTTATGCATCATCAAGTCAGATAGGTGATAGTTAAATTCAGTGAAGTAAGACTCCTTTAGCTGAGTTTTTCCTAGGTAACTGTTGAGATTGCTTAGGTTTATGTGAAGAAAAGGATACAAGAACGTTAAGAATATTAGGAAGAAGTAAAAACTGGCTGGATGGAATTCTTTGGTCCAGTTTTACACATCTAGTTTTAATGGGCTTTATTGTCAGCTTCTCAAATTTCTTGTATTTTACCAGATCTTATCTTAGCATGTTACCACTGGCCCAGATCTGGTGATGAGAGAGGCTCAACCTCTTACAAAAAAACGGCGTACAGTAGATGATTGGCTTTGGAAAATAATGTCGTAGATAATTCCAAGAGTTAGAGGTACTTCTCTCTTCTTACAGTCCCACCCAGGTGTCAGTAACTAGTTGTGTCCTTCTTGCAGGTGTGTGTATGTAGGGTTTTTTGTTTATTTGTTTGTTTTTTGCTTTAGTTGAGTACTTTACCCGCAGCTGTGGTATTTATTTATTTTCTTTTTACTCAAGAGACTGTGTCTTTAATGTGTACAGCTTTCCTGCAGAGCTGGTGGAGACTGATGCAACATCTGTCCACTGCTTATCAACTTCTCAAACTGAGACAAGGAAGCACCAGAAACAGTGATGGATGGCAAAGCTTTTCAGTCTCTGCTTGTCAGAAGATAGAAGAAACTCTTTGTTTCACCTGAGTTTATAGAAAGATGTTACACATTCTCATTCCAGTTGCAGAGAGCTTTAGTCACAGAAACCAAATTTTAAAATTGCTTTATCTTCGTTTGAAAGTTTGCAGGCAGCTTGGTTATCTGACAGCAAAAGACAAAAGGAGTAACTTCAGAAAAAGTGTCAGTGATTGCTGAAGCAAATGCTTTTCTCCAGGTTCAGTTCACTTTTCAGGGCTAGTAAGTAACAAACAGCTACCAGTAGTGCATCACAGTGTGCCTGTCACTTCTCAATCAGTGCCCAAACAGGCACGGTTGTGACAGCATCATACCATGCAGTTAATTCTGTTTTATGTACGGGTTCATTTTATTTTCATGGGTAACAAATCAGTGAGAGAAACTAACGTAGCACCATTGCCCATTCTGTATTTTATCTTTTTATATATTCTCATGCACAAGTGTTTTGCCAGTGATAAAATCAATTGCTGTGCTATTTAGAAACTTATTTTTTGTCCTTCTATGCTTTCTAAGTTAGAAACTCGGGAAACAGAAGTGTTGTGTTCTTCATATTTTAAAATGTGCTCTAAGTTTCTTTACCTTAGGTTTGTATTCGGATCTTGCATACTTTGGCAAATGTCACTATCTGTAAATAAATTTTCATGGTTTTGCCTTCATTTAGGGTTTTCCCATTCAGCATTTACCTTTGGTATAGAGAGCCATATCAGCCAGTCCAATATAAATGGTGCTCTGGTGCCACCAGCTGCTTTGATTTCCATCATTCAGAAAGGTCTGCAGTATGTAGAGGCGGAAGTCAGTATTAATGAGGTAAGCAAGAATTCCCTACGGGAGCATTATGTCTTTGCTTGCAGTAAGTTTGAGTGCTCAGTGCTGTTTCTTAACTTTTTTGTATCCTATTTATTTACTTTTACTTTAGATTCCTCACTGCTGGTGTTCACCACGACTCCAGTGGTGGAACCAGAATGGAGTGACATAACTGGGTAGGGGTTCTGCCCCGTGCAGCCACACAACACCAGGCATGGTGTTCTGGCTCACAGCTTGAAGGTCCGTTGTCTGTAGAGTTTTTACCCTTATATAATGTTGCAGTAAATCCAGAGAAGTGCAGTAAAGTAATTATAGAGACAAGTAACCTTTTAGTTTTTGTAGACTTGCTCTAGTGAGGTAAGAGAGTGCTCTGCAACTCTCATTTGGGTGACGTGTTGTTGTAATGATGTAATGAAAGCCAAAGGGAAGATATCCAAATAGAGAAATGGTTTCAGTTTGTGGCAGGAAGGATGGAGGTATGTGTCAGTTTGCTTTTTGCCTCTGCTGACAAATTCCTCCTGAGCAGGATCCACTGAATTTCACGTTCAAATGGTTATTCCAGCAGTACGGAAAACTGTGCATCTTCTTGCCTGGTACTGCAGATATTCGCCCTTGATTTCCATTTTCCCTTATGTCTGAGAGGTTAGCAGCCTTTGTGTGTGTCAGCTGTACTGGACAAGGAACAGTTTTTCACTTATTCTGCTCTCTTTCCAGTCTCTCTTACATCTTCTTTTTATGTATTATTTTCATAGTGCCAGCGGGGCAAATCTCTTCCCTTAAGAAGGCTCAGAAAAATAAACCAAGTGATTGGAATAGAAGGAGACCCTATATTTATCACAAGGAATCCTTTTAGGTCCTAAAAATAGGTCCTTACAAAGCCCTAGCATATGTATAAGCGTATTTTTAACTAGGTTGTGTCCATTTCAGGATAAATTCTTCTTTGTTGTTTGAAAGTATGCCAGCACTGCTTTAAAAAAAAAAAAAAGGGAAGAAAACTGGTGAACTCTGGATAACGTGTTTATGGAAAGTATTAGTCAAATAAGATAGAATAACTTCACCAGCCAGTGACCTGACTTGCAATGTTTGCAGCTTTTCAAACAAACCATTAGATTTTGTTGCAGCCGCTCATGTTTGAAATGATATTTATAGATAGCTTACAGATATTTTTTGCTTCAGCAGACAACTTAGCAAACTTGGAGCATGTAACTTTTAATTCCAGAACCTCTGCCAGAGAGGCCTGCAGTGGCTTTTTTGCATACTTATGGTGGCCACTTCACTTCAGAGTAAAGTTCCAATTCTAGCCACAAAAATGCTGAGAAATTAGTTCTTGCACCATTTGTAAACTGTTGCCTTTTTATTGTATTAAATTAGAACTTTTACTTATGTTTTTCTCAGAGCTTTTGCCAATGATGCTAATTCATATTTGGTGGTGTTTGTTGTTTTTTTTTGCTCTTTCCCTTGTTGTAATTAGGATGGTACCTTGTTTGATGGTAGGCCGATAGAGTCTCTCTCACTGATAGATGCAGTGATGCCTGATGTGGTACAGACAAGACAGCAGGCCTACAGAGATAAACTTGCACAACAGCAGGCAGCAGCTGCTGCAGCTGCAGCTGCAACAAACCAACAGGGATCAGCAAAAAATGGTGAAAATACCGCAAATGGGGAAGAGAATGGAGCACATACTATAGCAAGTAAGTGGAGACAGAAGTGAACTTAACCTGAGTTATGTCATTTCCTTGTCATTTAACGTGTTCGTGGGCCTTAATATTAGCTAGCAGAGAATGAAATAAATGTGTAAAGATGTTAGTAACCCTTCATCTTGAGACAGTGCTTATTTTTAGTAGTGCTTCACATTTGACTGTCCATGCTTTGATGTGAGGAGTTGCAGGAGATATGAACTTGGAGTTCATTCAATCCGAACGTGCCTTTGACAGGGTTTCACTTCCAGTACTGCTTCTTTCCTATCAGTTGAAAATTTTTCACGAAGCCTTGAGTAAAAAGCAGGCAGTTCTTTAAACATTACACCTCCTCAACCTTGAGCCCTGTACAAGGAGCAGGGAGAGGATTCTGCTTGCCCTTAGCTGGTTAAAACAGGGTCCTGCTTGCAATGCTTCAGCAAGCACTGCTTCTGGCAGATGCTGCTAACCCAGGGAGTCAGGATCTGGGTCTCATTCCGTGCTGGACTGATTCCTTGCCATGCTGAGATGGCAGTTGCCAAGACAAATCTCATGTCCTTTGTCTCCTTTATCAGTGTCAGTTTTCACAATTCACTGTGCAGGGTTGATGCAAGTGCTTGCCAGTTTTGTTTGTGCATTGGTTTATTAAACTGTACAGTTTTAGTTGTGTTTGGGGAAACAAGTGAGTTTTATTTATCATCGCTGTTCAGAGGAGCATAGCTTACAGCTGGGCTGTTACACGCAAGTTCAGGTAGGACATTACAGTGAGAGTTCAGAGTCTGCTTTTGCTGTAGCAGCTCCTGAGGAAAAGGCCTTTTTGAGAGTGTGTTTGTATCAGGCCACGAACGAGCTTTGCATTTTACAACTGGATTTTACTGTTTTATTCATTATTACGTATGACAAATAAACTTGGAAATATAATCTTTGACTTAAATAAGCTCTCCACTTTGATACTTTCATTTCCAAATCTCATAAGAGCATTTGCTCATTAACTGTGAACTGGAATGAGTGCACTTATGGATCTCAGCTACTGTAAATGTGGAATATCAGCAACCCCTGCTGGCTGCACACCGAACTGTACTGGCATTGGTTCTCTAATGGAAGTGATTTGTATGGTATGCCAACTGAGAAATATTCATGTCCTAATAGCTTTTTCTGTTTTCTCACACGTGCAAACAGTCACAGAAACCCTTAACGTTAAATTAAGCAATAAATGTAAAATAGTTTGTTTAATCACAGTGAATAAATACAGAGCAGGTGAACTGCTTAGCGTTTCTTGTATTCTGCATTCGTCCTCAATGTGAATTTATTTTAATAATAGAAAATGATTGATGGTAGCTGGCAAGAAAACTGTTTTGTCAGTTGAATTACCCCCAGTGCGATTTGCAGAACAAAATGAGCTCAGCATCACTTCTGCACAAGGAGCTGCCTATTGCCACAATTTCACAGTAATTGCCAGTGCAGTTTAAGAAGCTGCATTATCAGTTTACCTTATCACCAAATGTTATTATATTAATCAAAGCCATTTTGGAAGTGAAGTGTCTGAAGTGTAGATTTAAAACCGGTTTGAGCTTAATTCTGAAAAGATTTTTTGGACACCAACCTGTCATAAACATGTTTTTAAAGCACGAGATAAACTTGTAGCTTATCGTGTCAAGCAACATACAGTATGAAAAACCCTGTGTACTTTTAAAATCAGTGTTTATTTGTCAGCATGAAAACTGAAGCTAAAAATTATTTCATTGAGTTTCAGAATAAAGTCGTCTTGGATCCTGAGATTTGAAAGTGCAGTTTCTTCCTTGCTGCTTTTTTTTTTTTTTTTTTTTTTTTAAATTTTAAATCCTTATCTTTCATAGTACTTGAAAAGTAAAGAAGCATAACAGCTTTGTCAGATTTTGGTCGGTGTACACTGAGAATTAATTGTGCTCATTCCAGGAGAATCTTAATTACGCAGCAGTTAAAGCATATAAGTCCAAAATAGTGAAGTTTGCCTCTTCTCCACTGTTGTTTCCCATCGTGCAGATAATCACACAGATATGATGGAAGTAGATGGTGATGTCGAAATCCCTCCCAACAAAGCAGTGGTGCTGCGTGGCCATGAATCTGAAGTATTCATCTGTGCCTGGAATCCCGTTAGTGACCTTTTGGCCTCAGGGTACGTGCATTAGCCACATCTTTACAGAATATTGATGGTCATTGGTGTACTTGTTCTTTGTTTAAGGGAGCAAGTAAAATAATACCAGTCTCAGTGCTCCCTGTGTCAAATACCACAATATTCACTGTTTCGAAAGGAAAACGCTTTGAAATGAAATGAACTGAGAGAAGGGATTGTATCCTCCTAACTGCTTTGCAGATCCGGAGATTCAACAGCGCGGATATGGAACCTCAGTGAGAACAGCACAAGCGGCTCTACGCAGCTGGTACTTCGACACTGTATACGAGAAGGAGGGCAGGATGTACCAAGCAACAAAGATGTGACATCCCTAGATTGGAACGTGAGTAGAAATGACTGCACAAAATACTCTGAGAAAACCAAGCTTGCAGTTTTGCATAGTCAAATTCTAAGTGCCACCAACTGTGCATCCTCTGTTACCGCTCCAGAGGTGCATCTCATTTTGAGTTGCTTTGTAATTTCTTCTGTTATACTTTGGGGATTTCTTATTAATAATTGCACTCTGTGGAATAAATACCATCAATCTTAGGCAGATGTCTTCCACTTGAACTTTGCATTGTGCTCCTTAGCCTTGAATTGTGCAAAATTAAACCAATAACCTTTTTGCTGGCAGAGTGAAGGTACACTTCTAGCAACTGGGTCTTACGATGGCTTTGCGAGGATATGGACTAAAGATGGTAAGTGAAATATTTCATAGTTGTCAGTGTATTTCCTGTATTGTGGCTCACAACACAGCTTTTTATTTTTTTAATGTATTCATATCAATATAAATTTTCAGGTAATCTTGCCAGCACCTTAGGGCAACATAAAGGTCCTATATTTGCGTTAAAATGGAACAAGAAAGGAAACTTCATTTTAAGTGCAGGAGTGGACAAGGTGAGATAATCTTTGGTAAAATTAAAATTCTTTACTTCACCGTTGTAATCTAATTGTAAACATAGTAACAAAGCCATAGAAGTAAATAACTAAATTTAAACTTAAGGCATGGGACATAAATATGTACTTACAAAGAACTTGTTGTGCTAGCTGTATTTCATTGTGTTTTATAACAGCCTACTGAAATACTCTAATTCTTTAGGATTTAATGCCCCTGGATCTCTTCCCAATTAGATTAGCATAAGCTGGAAAGTAAGTGCATTGAACACAGTAGCGTTAAACCTTTGTAAAAACAAATAATCTAAAATTTACTGAATGACCTGATGCAAAGCCTCAGAAAAAAACATACTGGGGGAACAGATCAACGCTGATTTGGAGATCAGTCAAGCCTGAGAATGATTTAAAAGGTTAAAGCTGGAGCATAAGGAAAGTCAATATATCTGACTGGGGAGGTGCCAGCGTAATGCCACGAAGCCCATTGTTTAACTGTGTTTGATTTCGTGCCTCTGAACAAATGTAAAGGCTCGCAAGGTCTTTAATTTGAGAATCGTTGTTAGTGTGAGAGTTTTTATGAATGGTAGGAAGGATACAGTAGGGATGAAGGATAGACCTAAAGCGAGTTCAAAGAGTAATAGATGTTGTTTAGTTCTTCCTGTTTCAACCAATTCATATTGCAGAAGTAAAACCACAGTTCTGCAGCACTCGTAACTGGCAGTACCATGCTAGGGTAGTAATATAACCCTCAGAGATTTTCCTCTCTTTATATGGCTTTTCTTTCCTACATTAACTTAACTTGCTTTGCTTTAGTACCGAGCTTTCTAAGTGCTTCTGCTGACACAAAGGTAGGAAGAGAGTAAATATTTCAAAACACGGAAAGGATGGATTTCCTCTTTTGGCAGCTTGGATGGCTTATGCCAGTTTTAACATCTTTGTGGAACTACAGCTTTGATTTGCAGAAAAATATGCTGTAGGAGATAAAGCCTCATTGTTTCAGTCAATAAAACTCATTGACAGAGGAACTGAAATTATGCTTTGAAAAATATTCTGCGTTAGTGGAAAGATTGACTCAACCTCTTGTTTCATTTTCATAAATAATTTGTGATCAGTTCATACTTCCACCAAATTCAGTCTCAAAGTTTTTATTGATGAAAGTTTTCATTGCTAAGGTAGGTCAGGAACATGAGCATGTAATGCAGGGATGGCAAAATACTGATTTTTGTCATGAAGGTTTCTTCCGTGAAAAAGACAGCAGAATACAGAGGACAGCTCAGATCAAAATTACACCCATACTTAAAAATGAAGGAATCTGAAAGATTTGATTTATGAGGCAGCGTTTGTATAAAGATTTCCACAGGGACAGACAAGTATTTGAAATTACAATTTGAATATATGAGTACTTGAAATTAAATCAGGTATGCAGTGTGGGTTAGAAGAATATAAATAGAACTGAGGAGATGCATTTATTTAATTTAAAAAAAAAACACATCAGAACCCCCTTTTTTCCCTCCAGACCCCCAATATGTCACCATGAACACCTTTTTAGTGTTAGAGCATGTCAAGGTTCTCTTCTGTTGTCTGTACTGTACCACCAGTTGCTTTAGAACTAGGTAAAACACTTGAAGTATTGAGCCGTCTGTAGACGTGGGCAGTGGGGAGTAGGCTGGGTAGTTTGATGCGTGTGAATGGCGGTAGTTGTGGGAAGCTAGTAGTTGGTGCAAGTGTTTATTGTTAATTCATCTGTTTAATACAGACCACAATTATTTGGGATGCCCACACTGGTGAAGCCAAGCAGCAGTTTCCGTTTCATTCTGGTGAGTGTTGATTTTGCTCATTCACAGTTGTTGTCTGGAAAAACTCCAAATGTGTCATTTATTTGAAAAATAACGTACTTGAAGTTTATGGAGTCCATTCACACCTTTTTGAAGTCTTACAGGCAGTCTTCAAATACTGACTCCCATATTTGTAGTCTCATGTAGTTTTAAAACGTTATAACTCACAATTTTATTGCAGTTGCGTGGAAGATCTTAAGAGATGGTCCAAGTATTACCAACTCAGTGCAGTGCAGGGGCAGACATAGCGTGGATGGCCTGCACAAGATTTATGTTTATCAGCTAGGGACTGCGTTTGTCATCGTCCTGCTACAGTAATCCAGTCTCCACATCCCGTTGTTCCTTAATTCCTGCTGTGCTGGCCAGCTGGGAGAGAGCCACCTCCTGGGAGGGCAGACAAATGGCTCTGCAGGCTGTGTGCTGGGCTGGAAAACAGCAGGGAGAGGATGATGTACAAATCATTGGGCCTTTAAGAAATGTCTCATTTCCACTTTCTATTTTACTTTCCCTTTTTTTTCGGTACCATGGCAGCAATCAAAAACATGAGTTCCTGATTTACTCCTAGCAATTTTGTGTGCTCTTGGCCACAAATTACTCATCCTGGCCAAACGAAATACGTAGACCATGATTAAGCCTCAAGTTACCACACCCTGAAATGCTGAAATTAAAATAAATAAATAGATTAAATCATATTCCCTTTCACTGGCTGGCATCGGTGAGCACAAACATGCACTGTAAGCTGAGAGAATGTCTTGGGTGGGCTCTTGAGATTTACTTTGAGGTGACTTAACAGTAGCTTGCTTTCTTGTTGCTCGCTGTTCTGTATAACTGTTCCATTTCAGATATATCCTATGTTTTAGTGACTGTTGTTTTATGCCATATTTTTTTATAAGACTTTTTGGCTGCGTTTCTCCTTGTTTTAATTGTTTGATAGTCTTTAAAACTGCTGTAAAATTAATAGTTGCTTCCTGTTGGCATTTGTTTGAAGGCAGTGAATGCTATATTTGTAAATCAAATTCCTGCAGAACACACATCACAGTTTTAAATGTTCTGTTCTTTTAGCACCAGCATTAGATGTTGATTGGCAGAGCAACAACACATTTGCCTCTTGCAGCACGGACATGTGCATTCATGTCTGTAAACTAGGACAAGATAGGCCCATCAAAACCTTCCAGGGTCACACAGTAAGTACTGGAAAATGACAAATTTTATGATGTCTTTATTAATGAGAGGCTGATGGGGTGGGCAGAGAGTGTCACTAATCTTGCCAGTATACAGTGCTTGCGTAAGAGTTGGTCATGGCAAAAGGCAATAGATACGTACCCAGGTAGATGTAGTTAAGATCCTGTGATAAGCTTTGTCCTTCTGATGAAAATATTTGCTCCTGTCTGCAGCTTCTTTTACCAGGATGGCTTTAGAAGAAGAAACAGATGAACTTCAGATTTTTCTATGTATCACGTTGTGTTAAGGCCATGTATGGAATGAAAATTAAATGTTAAAGTAGTGCTAATTATGCAAATACTTGCAACTGCAACTTCATCTTTTGTATGCTGTCATTTGTAATGGAAGTGAAAATTCTAATCAGCTCTCACTGCTCAATTTTAGAATGAAGTAAACGCAATCAAATGGGATCCAACTGGTAATCTTCTGGCATCCTGTTCAGATGATATGACTCTAAAGGTAATGGGAGTGATGGCTGCTGTCTTCATAGGACCTCAGAAAACACACCATTAGTTTGAGCAATGGAGCCATGTCACTGCACACTCTGTGTTGTCCTAACGTTTGTTCTCTTTTGATGTAACAAGATGAGGCAATCCCAGCAATCCCTTTGCTAATCAGAGCCAAGCTTTGGTCCAGAGAGCTTGTTACAGGCTGCCACCTTGAGACTCGGAGCGTGATGTATTAGGTGCTTTTAGCTGTTTACAAAATTAAGTCATTAATCATTAAGCTGTCACACTTGTTGGTTGCTTTTGGTTAAAAGCAGTAGTTGGAATGCATGTGATGTTCTGACACGTACAAGAATCGGTGACTAGATCCTTTCATAGTTTTTTCTGTTTTCCCCTTCTTCTAAAGTTAAAACCCTAAGCACGTTATTTCTTGTAAGATGGTGTGCATCCTTGGTTTTCCACTTCAGCCAGAGTCATTCTACTGTTTTAATTGTACCAACGTGTTTCCTCCAAATAATTATTGCATTACTATTATAACTCTTAATAGAATAACTAAATTGTTTTTGTTGTAGGGTATCATGGATGAGTTGGAGTCCTAAGGGTCTCCTTCTCTGTGCAAAATATTGCACAAACACCTGGCAATGCCAGTCATAATAAGCCAAGAAAATGTCATAATGGCTTTTGCACTATGCATCTATTACTTTGCATGAAGACAGCACATTTTCCTACTCTGTTTCACTCAATCTGCGTAGCAAGAAGGAAGTTCATTTAAAAATAGGACTGTGATATTTTGTCAACTCAGACATGAACATACACATATTGCTCTTCTCATTTTAGCATCTGTTATCTTCCATACACTTTTCAAGTGACTTGTAGTGAGCACATTTAGATTGTTTTTTGTAGACAATATCTTTATTACTTATTGTGCCATCAGATACTTAGTGCCCTCTGTTTATTGAGTTCTGAAATAATGTGTACTGTAATTACTGTAGAAACAGCAGTCACAGAAAATGCTTTTAGTAGCTTAAAAGGTAGCAGTCAGGCTGCAGAAAATAAAGAAAGGTATAAAAAATATCTTAATACAATATTGTGCTGAATGTCTTTGTGTTGTCTTCCATTTTATCATAGATCTGGAGTATGAAGCAAGACAGTTGTGTCCATGACTTACAAGCACACAACAAAGAAATTTATACTATCAAATGGAGTCCTACGGGACCAGGAACAAATAATCCAAATGCCAATCTTATGTTAGCAAGGTATTCTTAATCCTGTTCTTAGAAGTTGTTTTTTTTTTTTATTTAAAGAAATTGTGCCCTGTGTTTACTTTGCTCTTTACTTATATGTATGTGCAAAATGCTTCAAACTATGTATGATGCTTTGTCCTATGACAGTTGTATTAAAAACAAAATTGTGCAAAACTGAGAAGTAATTAATCTGTGTTTTTCTCCCTTGACAGTGCATCCTTTGATTCTACTGTTCGGTTATGGGATGTAGACAGAGGAATCTGTATTCATACTCTGACAAAGCATCAAGAACCTGTGTACAGTGTAGCTTTCAGTCCTGACGGCAGGTACCTGGCCAGCGGCTCCTTTGATAAATGTGTACACATCTGGAACACACAGGTACAGCTCTTCTGTCTGTTTAGAAAGTTTCCTCGGTCTTTTCCATCAGTACTTTTCCAACCTTAGTTACGTCATCTTTTTTTGGATGTGGAGAACTTTGCACTTACCAACGTGCTGATTTACCTTCTCCTTTTCCTAAGGTTTCTGTTAATGGATGTACGTGAAATTTTGCTCTCTGTGTGAAGTGTACCCGCCTGTGGTGAAGGCACCCCAAAAGACCCCCAAAACCACACCCCAAGACACATTCAGCAGTCTCTGCAGTAGCATGTTGCATCCAAAAATTGTTACCTCTGACATTTAAACTCCTGATAAATTAACTTTGCTGTGAAAAAATGTTAAGTGAACGTAGGTGTGCAGGTCTGACACTTGATAGCTGTTTCATTGAACGTCGCTGAAAAGCAAAAGAATGTAAAGTGAGAGAAGATGGTGACAGATCTTGCAAAACTTCCTGAGGAAGAAGGCTATTACTTTGCTTTTCTGTCAGAGAAGAACTGAAGGAAGATGAAAATGTAAAACCAGCATTGTTAGGCAAGGTGTGATCTCTGGTTACCAGGGATTAGATATTTTATAATTTGATGAAGGCCAACTATGGTTTCACCTTTAAAACACAGGAAGGAGATTGAGATGCAGTAATCGTCAAGTCCTTTCACACAGCTCTTAGATAGTCCTTGAATCTCAACTGTTTCCCCTGAGAATTTCAGCTGTTGAAAATGACAGGAGTTTTACGTGTAGTAGAAATGTACTTGATTGCGTGTATTTTGTTATATTAATTATGTGTTTTGTCCCTTTTTAGACAGGTGCCCTAGTTCACAGTTATAGGGGAACAGGAGGGATTTTTGAGGTTTGCTGGAATGCAGCAGGAGACAAAGTTGGAGCAAGTGCTTCAGATGGTTCAGTAAGTGTGGCTTGCCTTGTTTAACAGTCTAATGACATATTTTGGCTAACAGTGGAGATGATATTTCCTTATGCACCTGATGTTTAAATACATGCAGCTTTCATGTAGATGTTTTTCATGTGAAGTTTCTAAAATTTGAAAGTAGAATGTCTTTATTCCAGCTTGATATATTACTGTTCTAAACCGCCCAAAGTCAGAAGATGCATTTAATTTAAATTCCCCGTCCCTTCTGGTGCTTAATGTAGAAATCTGTTCAGAGTGGCTGGTTGTTTTTCATTTTGTCATATGATTGCAGAAAATATCCTGAAAGGAACAAAAATCTCGAGGCGTATCCTGAGTGGAAGTTAATTGCCATTCCACTCATGGTTACTCTTACATACATGCAACGTAACCTTTCCAGTCTTCAGTTAATTTGACCCAAGAGGCTAATTGTACTTGCAACAGATTTATTTATGATTTTCCTTTAATTTTGACTCTTCTAAAATGTATCCTTGCTATGATTTGTTACTAAAAGTCCACCTCATCCCCTCTGTTTTAAATACATTTTTAGCTGGCAGTAGCAAAGCGAATAGGAGCACATTGGAGCCACTTGATGACTAAGAGCATAGCTTGTCTATGGTTGGTTTTGCTTTGTCTGACAGAACTAGGAGCACTACTTAGTGAAGGCTTTAGAAAATTAAACTTGGTATTTATACAGTGTTAATTTTTAATTTTTTTATTTATCCTGATCAGTTCCTGCATTTTCTAGAAATGTATTTTTAATTATTTTTAATTTAATTTGACCATATTTTTCAAAATAAGATTCAGGTAAATTGCTGACCTTCTAATACGAAGCAACAGGCAAACAGCTCCCATAAGGTATTTCGAATGATGGCAGTGCAGTCGGCAGCAGTACTGCAAGCAGGCCTGGCTGCGTGCTGATAACCCAGGAACTCTCCTGATGTGCTGATTTTTTCCCCCCAGGTCACTTACAGATTTAAGGTTCCTCCATCTGTTCCGTAGGTTTCGCTCAGGTGTTTCACACACAGCTGTGTAAACGTGTGATGTCGTACAACGTGCATTTCCTCTATGTGTATTTCTTTTCTTACAGGTTTGTGTATTAGACCTACGGAAATAGCGCTACTAGTTGGAAGCCATGGACCGACTATGAATGTGTACATAGCCAAAATGACTGTCCCTGACCCATGTACTGCTATAGTCCCAATTGAACCATGGCCAGTCCACTACAGCCAAACGTAAAAGAAATATATACATATACTGTATATAAAAATAAAAGAAAAAGTTACACCCTGAAGAGGATGACAGAGTTTTGTCACAGCTTGTGAATCCCATTCACCAAGTGCTGGAATCTGCTGTGCCCCAAAATAACATTTTAATGTTTTGGATATGAAAAACAGAAGAGAGAGCGAGAGAGAGAGAAATATACCATATACAAGAGCAGACCCATATACATACCAAATTCAGAAGATGTAATGGCAGCCTTCATTGCCCCTTTTCCCCTCTTAATCCACTATGACAATGGATTGTGGGGTATCTTTTTTTTTTTATTTTCCTTTTCAGTAGTTGAGCAGTTTGTGTGTACAGAGAAAACGGACTTACAGAAATCTGCAGCAGTAGTTTTTTCTTTGCTTTTAACCATTGGGTTTTCTGTTTTGTTTTGGTTAAGTTTACGGATGCATGAAGTAAGGGAGTGAATTAGTTTCTTGTTTGTTTGTTTTTTTTTATCACCTTGGAAAAAAAAAAAAAGTGTTTCTTTGAAACATATTTGAATGCATTCTTTGAGGAGGTAGATTGAACCTGACGATGTTTGGTACATTTTGTGACTCCCAGAGCACAATTTTGTGAACAGAAGGAGGGTGGAAAAGGGATTATGGAGAGAGAAGAAAAAATCCTTCTTTGAGGCGTGATATTTCACGTCCTGCTCATCTACCAAGTGTGACAGTAATGGGTAAGACGCTGTGTTTTATTTTCTGGTGACATGGCTGGAATGCAGTAGTGTCTTATTTCGGACGTAATTCTGCCAAACTAAAGAATAGAAAGGCAAAAAAATAAAGAAAAAAAAAATAAAGGGTTTCAAAAAAAAAAAAAAAAAAAAGAAAAAAAAAAGAAAAAGAAAAAAAAGAAAAAAAGAGAAAAGAAAAGGAAAAAAAAAAAAGACAAAAAAGAGGAAAATGAAATGCATCTTCTGTTGCTTTAAGACCATAGCTAAAATATGGTTAAATACAGATAAATTGTGCACTATTATGAAGAGGAGCAAAATATAGCTGGGGGATTTGTTAAGATCTTTCTGGACAAGGGTTCATGCCACAGCTTCTCTGGGAGTTGCCCATCGTTATTTGTAGGAGCTTAGATGTATAATTGTAACCAAACTCCAGTATTAAAAGTGTCTCATGTAATTTTTCTTTATTAAAATAAAATCTTTGGCATATATTTGATAACACTGCCATTAAGAGGCAAAATGTTTACTACCTTAGATTTAAAAAAATATCTTAAACAGAGGACTTGCTTCAAGTTTATTTTAATAGCAGTGATTCAGCTTATTTAAAAGATGAATACTTGCACTAATTCCCCTGCTGCTCCAGTCCTGCAGTTTGTTGTATCACGTGACTACATTTTTTTCCAAATATAGGGTAGATGTAAGCTGCTATTTTTTTAATAATCACTACTATATAGTGTCTTTTACTCTGTTTACAATATCGAGTATTTTTCTTACAATGACAGATGTATATGGCAAACCTTTTTCTGCTCATGTGATTAAAAATATACTGATAGTGGTTTTATTTGTAAATGATAGCATGAGTTTGTGTTTACGCGTACGTGTAGTTGAGAAGGTTGCATCATGTCTTGCATACGATTCCAAGAGTGTAAATTTATACAAAGGAGAGGTCAAGTTTATGTCCCAGGCGTTTTACTTATGGAATGGTTTATATTGCAGAGAGAGCTTTGTGAAGTTATCAGTTTTATAACACTATTTCAATCACAAATAATTTTGTGACTTACGATTGCTGTTTTTTTTCTTTTTCTTTTATTTTTCCCCTCCAAGTTGTGTGTAAATTGATTTAATCAAGATAGTGCAGCTTTAACATTTTAACAGTTGTCCTTTAGGCATTGAGTTCTGCTATTTCCATGGAATAAACATGACTTGAAGCAAGTCTGAGTTTGACTAAGGTAGGGGAGCAATTTGCCAGTGGTAAAGAGAAGTCAACAATGCTTTATATATACCCCAGGAATATACTACTATCATAGACAGCATTTAAAAACAGGAAAAAAATCATATCCATAAAGGCAGTCATCCGTGATGGTTCAGTGCCAGCTGTTGTTAGGGTTTGGGAACATATTACAAATGTTTAGAGCAATTACGCCACGAGTTACAGTACGTAGGAAGCCTAATATATTGAGTGTCTGGCACTTGAAAATATTGCTTTTATTGCTGGAGGTCCATGACTGTGGCTGACCTCTGTCATTAATGGAAAAATAAAAAATGAAAATTCTGTGCAATAATTTTAAACTGTGCTCCCAGGAATAGACACAAATGTTTTGAGTATGTTTAAGCTGCATTTTTCGTTTAGCAATGCATTTGTCAATTGCACTGAATTTAAATCTGAAAGTCAGAAGTGATTCTTGATAGTACTTTTGTATTTTAATATGGACAGTTTATTCATTCTCATAAAAGTTATTGGGCGATTCTTTCAGCCAATCCAAACAGTCATGGTGGAGTTCTGTGACATAGCTGCAAAATCACACAGCCATGTTTTAGGGTATTGCCATTTTCCTCTTTCTTGATCATCAGCTGTTTCAGTTGTAATTCTAGTTGCTTAAGCATAGTATCACGTATTCATAAATAGATACAACAGAGCTTCAGTCTCAGAGGTCCAGGGTTTTCAGGTGCTCGAAGCATAGTCCAGCAGTGCCAGTTGTGTTGACTTGAGTGCTCTGGACACGCAGGCTGACGGCCCAGCCCCGTGTTAACGCGCCGTGCCCACCGCAGCGGAGTTGTGCCAGGTCCCGCAGCAGCAGGCCTGGCTGTAGGTGTTTTATTGTTGTCCTTTACTAGCATGCCACAGTGCTGCTCCTGCTCACACCTCTTTTTGCCTCTTGTTTTATACACTGTTAAATGCATGCATGCCAGGTGTGCTAGGTTATGTGATTCTGTGAAGTAAAAAGAAAAAAAAAAAAATCACACACAAAAAAAGAAGGAAATCATACGTTTATTACATTTTATAGCACAAAGACCTCGTATTCGATAGTGAGGTAGACTGTCCAAACTTTTCCTTTCAATTGAGCATGCCAAATGTCAGTAGGAGCCTAATTTCATATCGGTGTATGCACATGCTTAGTCTTACGTGGAGGTTAATTCTGTTGCGCCTGTTCTCATTGTGAAGGCAGATGTGTGCGCAGGCCTTTGCCTGCATGGAAGTTACAGTCTTTTCCATTCAGTGTCAGTGGGCAGGCATCCAAGTAGAGGATAAAAGGAGGGGGAAAAACTGGGCGCAGAATGAATGCTGGAGTAAGAAAGGAACTGCTCTTCAGTTTGCTGTTTTTCTATGCATCGACGTCAGAATCCCGTTGCTCATTTCTGCATAGTTAGGTCCAGGTTTCCGTAGAGTTCCTCTTTTTCTATTTTGCTTTCTCTTTTCCTGCCTTTTTAAATCGATGTAAAGATTCCCAACCAGTGGACTTTTTAGTGTAGTTAAGAGAATATCTAGGTCCTCGTAAAAGCTTTTTTAGACTCTTTATAATGTTGATAAACTCAGTTTATTCTGGGACTACAATTGTGCAGGGTTATTTAGCGTGTCTACTAGATGATTGGAAATCTTATATGAAACACTAAAAGTGCCTCTTTTTCTGGGTTGGGTGGAGGGAGGTAATAGTTACCAGAGTCAGAATGACATGGCATTTTGAAGCATGTTTCTTCATTTCATGACACTTTAATGCATCTTGAGAGAAAGGCCAAAGATTTCTACCAATTTTAATTAATTTTCCTTTCAAAAGCACTCCTTTTTCCTTACACTGCTTACCTCATGCTAGGGCGTGTTTGACGGGACGCTGTACCTTTGAGATGTTCTTTGTGTTCAGGAAGAAGGGCCGGTGGAACCGGGCGCTGCTGCCCACAGAGCAATCTGGCAGCTGACGTTCGGTTCTGCTGAGTGAAGGAATCTCCTTAAGGCTACAAACTGGGTTTTTCAGCTTGTAAATAAAAGGTTGTATGTTTTTTGTCCGTTCAGCAAAGAGGAGCCTTGGGACCCAGTTTTCCAATCTTGACTCGATCAGAAATCCCATTGTCTTTCACTTCACGGGGAAACTTTGTCAGAACGGGCGTTGGAAGATGTGGGTCTGTGTTGCACCGCGCCGTGTGCCGCGAGGGCCGGGCAGCGCCTCGCTGGAGCCAGGGCTGCTGCTGGTGCAAGCAGCTGGGCTGTGCCCTGAGCAGGGCTGCCGCGCTTAGCACTTAGCCCGTGTTCCTTTGCGCTGAGGAGCCTTGTTTCTTCTGACTTCACAAAGCCCTGTAGAGCTGTTTCCTGGGGGGGTCGTTTCACACTCTCCAGAAGTCTGAAGAAAGCAGAAGCAACATTGTGGCATGTTAGAAGCAAATAGGCTTCCGGAGACAGCAGTAAATCTCCATCCGAGATCCCTGACATTTTCCTTAGGGACAGAGCCAAGGAGCAGCCTTCACATCTCCCTCTAGAGAAAGCTCTGAAATCCCACGTTCTGTGAAAGCGTGGCTGTCTTCGCTGTCGGTCTGAAGGCAGACAGGGCAGGAAGATCTGCCATGTCTTACAGATGGCGGAGTTAGTGTTAATAGTGCTTCAGATCAGTAGTTTTGAGTACATACTCTCTTTCTCTGCCTTTAAGTTTGCAGCTTGACAGTAACTTAAGGCACGTTTTGTTTTGTTTTCTTTTTTAAATAATCATTCATTTTTACTTCATGATGTTTTTGTCATTTGTGGGTAAATACAAGAAAACAGTCTGCATGTTGTTGCTAGTCCAGTGTACTTTGCAATCTTGTCCTCAACAGACTGCAGTGTGCAGAACAGTAATTCTAGAATACAGAAGTAATTTTCTCTCTCTCCTGACATTGACATTGTAGTTGTAATGGTTTCATTTGGAGTTACAAATCCTTTGGGTCTAATTCTGTGAGCCTACCTATAGCACTGGATTAAAATGTCTGCATCATTTCTTCAGTTATCCAGTTAAACTACAGCTGTTGTAAAAGTGTAAACCAGCCCATGACAGTTTTTTGTACTTGTTTAAAGGACTTTTATTGTTCAGTTTTCATGATTATTGTCTAAAGAA